GCTGTTAAGTGAGTGGCCCAAAGTTGCTCAGTTTTGGTGGAGGTATGATTAGAAACAGGTAATCTAACTCCAGAAGCTAAATTCCTTTTTAAAAAAAAATTATTTAACTTTATTTATTATTATTATTTTCCAGTTTGATCAGAGACAGAGAGAGGGAAAGTGAGAAAGTAAGCCACCAGATCTGGGACTTGAATGGAAGTTGGTCATGTGGGAGTCCAGCACCTTTAACCACCACGCCACCTGCCGGCCCCCTGAAATTGAATTATTACCTTGCTACAGTGATCCTTTCCATTTGTGTGTGTGTGCATTTGATGGAATAGTGTACATCTGTTTAAAATACTCATTTATTTTAAATAATTTTATATGCTTATCTTTTAAAAAAGACTTATTTATCCAATTTTATTTATTATCTTTTTTTTTTTTTCAATTTGACCAGAGAGAGAGAGGAAAGCAAGAAAGCAAGCCGCAGGGCCAGGGACTTGAACCGGGGTCAGCCTTGTGGGAGTATGCCACCTTTAATCCCCATGCCACCTGCCAGCCCCTTTAAATGCTATCCTAATAACAGTTATAACGTTGAGTTAAAGGCAGTGTATGAAATTGTCTATGGCATGGGTACAACCTTTTGAAACTTCAATCTGTGTACAGAGGACAGGACAAGGAAACGCATTAATAGTCTGACAATAAATCTGAGTAGTTGGAATTTTCACCTTGCACTTTCAATGTTCTGCAGTTTGTAAATTTTCAACCATGGGTCGCCATTAATAGACAACCAGAGGAACTCTCTGGCCTATATTTCTCAGTTCTCAACGAGATGATCCGGGCTCTCACCTCATGATGGCCTCTAGTCCAACTGTCACTTGTCCCAAAGCCATAAAGCTTTTTGTGAGAGCTGCCTCTCACCCTGGAAGTGGAGGGTGATGACTGGCAATGCTGGGGGAAACTAAAAGCCGGGAGCAATCCCACAAGCTCCTCCTGGGGCTGCCTGGAAATACCTAGGTCAGCATGGCCAGCACAGGGTGGGCCTGACCACAAGCAGAGGCCACCAGCTTGCTGCCAAGCCCTAGCCCCATTCTATCCAGTTCACACAGACCTGGGCTGTACAACGCTCTGTCTTTGTTTGGTTTTGTTTTTGATTAAGTGACCTGGCAATTTCTAGCTGAAATAACTCATAGAAAAATCTAATTTTCTGCCTTCTCTTAAAGAAAAAAACATCAGAGTATTTCAGCATGTCAGATCACATAGCAATAGTCAGCTGGAGTGAAGGTCCAGCTTGCCACAGTCCTCACTACTCCCAACTGCCTCCCAGACACTGAAGTGGACATATCGTGCTTCGGCTATGGCTTTTCTAATAAGGTGCTATAGAGATGAAGTATGTTGGGACCAGCAGTTAGCGTAATGGCTATGTCGCTGGACTCCCACATAGTCGACCGTGGCCAGTGGCTTAAACTCCCACATAGTCCCAGACCCAGTGGCTTAAACTCATGCCGGGCACGTGTGTATGCGTGCCTAAGATCCCGAGAGGAGAATGGAGGAGAAGGGATTGTGGCGTGGCCATCCCCCCAGGGGGTGATTTCTTACTTTCTGTCTCTCTGTCTCTCTCTGTCTGGTGAGCGCACGCACCCTATAGAAAAAAACCTCTCCAATAAAAGAAAGAAAAAAAAGAGATGAAGTATGTGGTTCCATGGGGCCAGCAGGTGGCGTAGTGGTTAAAGAACTGGATTCCCAAATAGCTGATTGTGGTTCAAGTCCTGGACTTGGCAATTTGCTCTCTCTCTCTCTCTCTCTTTCTTACTCTCTTTCTCTCTGGTGAGTGCACATGCCCTACAGCAAAAATTTAAAATAAATAAGTAAATAAAACTCTAAAAAATAAATTAAAAAATAAATCCCATGGTAGAGCAGAAACAGGCTTTGTGTCAGGCCCCCTGGTCTGCATCTGTTACACCTCCCACCAGGAGAGTGGGCTCAGGTTACAGAACTTCAGGCTACAGACCATGAAGATTCAACTACACAGAGCTCCTAGGACAGCGCCTGGCACATGAGAAGGGTTCAGGCCACACTGGCTACTGCGCTCCTACTGTGAGGACCATCCGGACTTAGCCCAGCTCACAGAGGCTGTGGGGCCTGGCTAAGTTGGGCCCCCCACCCTGGCTGCTGTGTCCTCTCCTCATAGGCAAGCCATCTTTGTCTCTGTGCTGCTGGCCCAGCTAGTGGCTAGTGACTCAGAGCTTTGCAGGGCCAAGCAACCTTTGCTTACAGGAAGCTCCTGTGGCCTCTTATTAAGAGGCTTCTCTGTGCTCCCCAAAAGTTGGTCTTCTGGGAAGGACAGTACAAGCAACATCGCTTGCTGTTACTGCCTCAAAAGATTTATTTGAGAGAACTGGTTTCCTTCTGGCACCACCGATGAGCTGTCAACCCAAGGCCAGGGGCAGATTCCTACACAGGATGGGGGTCCAGGATTCCCAGGTCTCCTGTTAGTGCCACCCACCATCGAAGGGGAGTGTGGGCATGTGGGTCCGTGAGTTCTCACAGGACCTAGGAGGGTCTGCACTTCTGGAGAAGCAGATCTGAAGGGCACCATCCCAGGTAAGCCACGGTTCCTGTGTTCCAGGCAACTCAGGTATAGTGACCTTGAGCACTGCCCTGGACAGGATCCCCTCTCCCCTTGTGTCTAAGCCCTCCCTGGCACCAGCCGGGCTAAGGTCCTATTCCAGGGGTCCCATCCACCAGTTTGCAGTGACTCCATTCCTGTCTGGCTCTGCCAGATGTGGCACTAGAAGAAGACCAGGACAGAATTTGTCCCACACTGAGGCCCTGCACCTCGCCCTGTGCCTGGCATACTATAGGGCCTAACTCTGGCCTACCGGGTGAGTGAGAGGACTGACCAGCACACCCCCTCCTCGTATGCCATGGCAGGTGACACCTCACGCAGTACGCCGTGCACAGGGCACTGACGCTGTAGCTGCTCAGCTCCTAAAATTGGCTAGCACCTGCACCTGCACCTCTGGCTAGTTTTGGTTGGATCCAGCCCCTCCCTGGTTGCTTCCCACCTTCCCTCCAGTCTCCAGAGGCTTCTGGCCTGGACTCCTGTAAGGGCTCAGGCCTGGTTTGCCACTGTTCTAACACCTTTTCAGAATAAGATAGGCCCAGGTGAGGGCAGGACAGAAGATGGGACCAAATACTGAAAGGAAACTCACCAATTAGTCTGCCTCCAAATGTCTCTGGTTTTCTGAAGAAAGGGCTTTCCTAAGGATCATCCCTATTGGTGTCCAGTCTGGCCGAAGTCCCCCTGTTACGTAGACATATGCCTCTATTCCTGTCCCATTTCCTCCCCTTCAAGGGACAAGGCAGCAGACTGCCAAGGAGGTAGGGCTGTCCTCATCACTGTGCCTCTTCCAATATCCGGATCTCAAATAGTTCTAAGACTTAATGGAGAGACTTCCTCTGTCCTCAGGACTAAGTGAGCCTTTCTGAGGACAAGGCAGGACACGTGGCCAATGTGGGAGCCAGGAGCCCTGGGGACCAAGCCCGCTCCTGACACCCTCCTCTATGTCTTTGCTTGTGCCTCTGGGATACGACCAGATCAGCAAACTTCAGACAGTTCTCAGAGCAGCAACCCTTTGGTTAAACCGAACTGTACCAGGATGTGACGCAATATGCCAACTAGAGGAAGCTGGGATCCCCTTCCCTCACCTCCCCACATGTTGAGAATGGCCTTGGAACCCGCGACATTCCTGGGGCAGCTGGACGCTGGTCCTCCATATACCCCAGCTGGGAGCATCAGTTTCACGCTCAGAGGGTCTTCTGCCCTGGACACCTCCCAGGCTGAGGTAGGGGAACACTAGCTGAGATGTTTCCGAATGAGTTTCTGAGGCTCCAGCTGTGACAAACATCAGAACCCCAGCCTCTATGGGCAGAGGGCCACCAGCCCCACTCGGCTGTCTGATGTGATGGGAAGGGACCATGGATCTTGCCAGAAAAGGAGACTGAGGCCCGGAAGAGCAGGATCTTGCCTGAGGAGACAGTGAAATGAATGGAAGAGCCTAGAACCAAAGCCAGGGGACCAAACCTCCTCCATCAAAGCCATTCTCAGGAAGAGACGTGGGGAATGAGAGAAATAGCTTTCCGTTGCACGAAGAAGTGAAGCTCTGACTGGAAGGTCAAGGGCTGAGAAGCAGGCCAGGAGAGGAGAGGAGTGGCCGGGTGCAAGGCCTCACCTACTGCCCTTCTGGTGTGTGGCCAGGTGAAGCTAGGGTTCTGGGCTTTGGAACAAGACAAATGTGGGTATAAGCCCCCCTGCATCTGGGCCAGCTTCATGGGGGTGAGCCTCACATCCTCACACTGGCCCCATAATTGCTTCACTGTTTTGTGGTCACCATTGTAAGAGTCTTGATCATTTTTTAATAGGGGGCCCACATGTTATCTTGCACTGAATGTCACAAATTATATAGCTAGTTGGGGGCCTTAGCCAACATGACACACTGGCTAAGGCACTGGACTCCCACATGGCCAACCATGGTTTGAGTCCCGGACCTGGTGGCTTGCTTTCCCACTCTCTCTCTCTTGCTCCCTCTGATCAAATGAAAAAATAATAATAATGAATGAAATTAAATTAAATAATTCTTTAAAAAATGATATCGCTGGTCTTCCGTCAGGCACTAGCTATTTCTCCATGAATGAGTTTCTTAACCTCTGAGAGCCTATTGTTTTCTCATTTGTAAAGCAGAAATAAGAACAGCACTCGTCTCGCAGAATGGTTGGAAAGATGAATGAAGAGAATCTACATAGAGAGCTTAGTGGCTGTTTGGCACATGTTAAATACTTAGCCAATGGTAGTTGCTATTAAGATGAAATAGTAATTATAGACGTCCTTGATAAGAGATTACCTGACGGCAGAGCTGTCTTGTCAATAACAATGAGGTTAGCAACCACCTCCCAGAGCTAGCTAGCCAGAAAACGGTGACAAGACCCCCATAGCAAGCTCCCCACGCCCGGCCTCTTACCTTCCTGAAACGGCTGTGTTTGCATCTGCAACCGGATCTTGATAAGGTCCACAGGCCCACCCAGCCCGACAGAGACCACACCAGCCACCATGCTGGCCAGGAGCAGGTCCGACAGGGTGCGGGGAGGGCTGGCCTCGGGCTCCCTGCAGCGGTGCTGACTGAGGAACCTCTGCGTGTTACTGAAGACCCCGAACACCACCGAGTTGTAGACGGCAATGCTGGCAAGGGGGAAGGACATGCCCTTGAAGAAGCCGAACACCTGCAGGGAAACCCAGTGGTTGGAAGAGGAGCCAGGCTCCCGGGCCACCTTGCTGTCCTGCAGGGTCCCTGCCAACCTGCCTCCTGGAGACCGTAGGCTGGTGGAGGAGACCTTGGCTTAAGGGACCCAATACGAAGTGAATGCCGGACGGAGCAGGATGGAGGAGGAGGATGTGGATGTGAGCGCAGGAGGGCAGGGCTGCTCACCATGGGCCGGCATTCTTGCCCTGAGGAGAGAGGTGCTTCTGCAGGATGTTCTGTTCCCTGCCTGGCGGCATCCTGGCCTGAAGTCAGGCTGTGACCGCAGGGAGTGGGCTGGCCAAGTACAGAATACACCCCTCATTTGCCACTCACACAGAAGCATTCTCAGACGCTTGCCCTGGGCCGACATGAAAGAAACCGTCTCCATCCTCACAGAGGGCACCATCAGTCATGTCCTACCACGGCTGGGGCACAGCACTGACGGGGTGGGGACGGGCAAACAGATGGGCGAGCCCAACACCATACTGAGCCTGTGGTGAGAGGGAAAAGGGGGGTCCCCTGGCTCTCAAGGGGCACCTGGGCCAGCCTGGAGAGGGGACATCTGAGCAAGGGTGTCTCCTGGTAGAGTGGCCAGGGAAGAGAGCCTAGGAAGGACACAGGAAGGGGCTTGGGCACACCGGAGCCGGAGGCTGAGTAGAGGCGGAGCTGTCGGGGTCCCTTCTCCCCAGCATGCTCAGTGAGCGCCCCAGAGGCTCTGAGAAGAACTGGAAAATTCCACAGGCCCTCAGAGGAGTCATGGTAGCACATACGGGCCAGCAATGAGAATGTAGGACACCATTGTATAGACTTCAGGCTGTGCATAACCCACCAGTCTGACTGTGTATACCACACACTGGGTGACAGGCAGGAAACCTCACACATGCATGCTCACATACACATGTGCACATAGAATGCACACACATGCTCATGCACACACCCTGCTCCAGCCTCTTCCTCCATAACGAGGTCTTTCAGGTAATTGGGACTCGCTCACTCAGGCGCTGCGGCATCTCAGAGACCCCACCCGCAGTACCCACACCGAAACCCTGGAGCCAGGATGCTGACAGGCTGGCACTGCAGGCATGTATGCCAAAAAGGAGCATCAACAGTTGCCTTTCAGGGGACTGAGGGATCTCCCAACGCTGCTCTGGAAGACCAAGTGCCAGGTTTGCAAAACCACAATCAAGAGTGAACACCACAGCCTGAAGCGAGATGTCCCGGCGCTGCAGGGACACTCGAGCTGCCGCAGGAGGCTGGGAGCCCCAGGCCACTCACCACGCCAGAGGCAATGGGCACCACCGGCCGCATTTCCGGTGGCTCGGGGAAACACCACAAGGCCAACTCCTGTTTTTGAAACTAAGTCGTTTCATTTCAAATTTTAAAATTTATTAATACTCACTTTACAAGCTAAGTGATGTATACTGATTGAATGTATAAAATAAATGAAAATTTTAGAGATTATTAATGTTTAAAATTCCCCAAAGAGAGGTCTTAAAGTCTTCCTAAAGCACAAACTAATTCTCAAGGAGGGAGCCTGCTGTGTCTTCTGCAAAATATTTTTCAGTTTTCCCCTTTGAAAAGGAGCACCTCGGGTCACAGGGTCTCAAGCACAGAGCTGGACATGTGCGCTGTGGCGTCTAGACACAGAAATGCCAGACATGAGCCCCCACAGCACTGGGATAAAGGGGAACCTGTCAGCCCCGGCCACTCAGCCCACTTTAAAAACGGATGGTCACCTTGGTTTGGCAGGAATTTTCCACACCATGGCTCTGAATTCCTCAGATTTCTACAGAGAGGCTGCACAAGCCAGCTTTCCCTCAGTAATGGTGCACTAGGTGGCAAGGGTAAGTTGAGGTGATGGGGACTCTCTGACGTGTGCAGAGGTGGGGGCTGTGGCCAGGTCCCCAGGCCCTAGGAGGGGCAGGCCCCGCCCACCTGCCCAGGGCACTTACGCTCTCCCGCCTGTACACCATGCGGATGCAGCTGAGGGTGTTCCCATAGCCGACGCCGGCCTGCAGGCGAGTCTGTGGAGAGACAAGGGCGTGGGGACACTCAGAGATGGTTCACATTCCCACTGCCCAAAAGACGCCCTGGAAGGGGAAAGCCCTCTGTGTAGCGACCAGTGAGGAGGTCGGGGGTCCAGTCCTAGCCAAGTTGGCGCTCTTTCCCCTGCAAGCACTCCCTCCTACTAATGACCATTCAAACCCTGCTCAGGGCTACCCAAGCCCCCTTCGCCTGAGAGAACAAGGGCCAGGTAGCTGTGCAACAGTGCTGGTTATTAGGGGGTGTTTGCTCCCTGTCTACGGAGCACAAAAAGCTACACTGAGACAGTCCTATCCCTGTCTGCCACTCTGCCCCCCTAAATGTCCCTGGGAAGCCCTGCCCCCAGGACCAGCACCCTAGCCCTACCCCTTCATCCCTCACCTGGACGATGGCCTGGTCTCCCCCTACCTCCTGGCCCCTCCCACCTCCTTCACCTCACTCTACATAGTAGTCAGACAGATTTTCCAACTGTCAATGAGACCGTGTCTCTTCTGTTCGGAGCTCTCCAATAGTCTCCCGTCAGACTTGGAAAAAAGTTCCATACCCTTGGGGCCAGTAGATGGTATAGCGGGTTATGTCACTGGACTCCTACGTGGCCGACTTTGGTTCAAGTCCCAGACCTGGTGACTTGAAACTCATGGCGGGCACCTGTGCATGCAAACCCCAAGATCCTGGGAGGAAAATGGAGGAGAAGGGATTGTGGCATGGCCATCCCCCTGGGAAATGATTTCTCACTTTCTGTCTCTCCATCTTTCTCTGTCTCTCCAGTGAGTGCACGTGCCCCAAGCCAAAAAAAAAAAAAGAAAAAAAACTGAAAAAAGAAAGAAAATTCCATACCCTTAACCTGTACCCAAGAGGCCTGGGGGAGCGTCTGATCCTGCCTCTCACCCGTGTCCTGTCCTTCATGCCCCTTTGTACTGGCTGAATGACAGTAGATAGCAAAAGCATGGTGTTCTCTCATCAAGGTTGGCTTTGGTGACCAGGGCAGGGAGTCTGAACAAGCCACAGAAAAGTGCCTGGGGCACCCAACCCAGCCTGGCGGTTCTGCTCCTTTTAAGCTGTGCAGCCTGTAAGGCTCTGACAAACCCTCAGCACTCTGCTCAGTGCCAGTGTGGGAGGGGCCGTGTGAGCCACACAGAGGACAGACATGGCTGTGCCCACAGTCCAGTGTGAGCGAGGAGCTGATTCCTCACACAGACAATCCGGCTCAGCCCTGGGGGCTGGGGGAGGAGACTCAGAAAGAAAACACAGCATCCAGATCGGGGGATCTGAGGCAGATCTCACAGGTGAGCAAAGCTTTTCTTCCTGGAAATTTTCTGCATTTTTCAACTTCCCCACAATAAGCAGGTGTTATTTTCATCACTCTTTGCTTATACAGTTGTAAAAATAATTTTAAGTATGCAACTAATATAAGAATATAGGTTTGGGGACCAGCAGTTAGTGTAATGGCTATATCGCTGGACTCCCATGTAGTCGACCACGGTTCGAGTCCTGGGCCCAGGGGCTTAAACTCACTCCAGGAACATGTGTGTGCGTGCCCAAGATCCAGAGAGGAGAATGGAGGAGAAGGGATTGTGTCATGGGGTGGGATCTCCCTAGCCAGGATAATGACATGAGCCGGGGAGGAGAAAGAGTGCAGACCTCCTTCTCTGCCCCATGTGAGGCCAGCAGGAGGCCCAACATTCTCCCCTGCTAGCCCCAGTCTACCAGCGCTGTCCCTGGGTGGTGAATCCACAGAATCCTCAGGAGGGGTCAAGTCCCTAAGAAGGTTGAGCAGTCAAGTCACTCAAGCAAACAGTACATGGAGGAACTCAACCCAACAGCAAAACCTGGGTCACGTAATAATTTCAACACCACGGACAAAGGTCTACCAGCCATGCCGAGCCCTCCAGGGAGGCTGGTGTGGGGGCCAGCAGCAAAACCCAAGTCTCTCAGGCCCCTGGCATTTAGTGTGCTCCAACTGCATACAGGGGGAACTGGGCATCTTATGGCGTGAATCTCATGGAGTCTCCCGAGGCCGTGTGAAGCCCTGATGCAGTCCCCACGTGGCAGGTGGGAAAGCTGACTCCGTGTATTATCTTCCTGTTGCCACCATAACACGTTCCCACAAACTTAGTGGCTTAAAACAACACAAATGTGTTCTTATCTAGTTCCAAAGGCCAGAAACCAAGGTGGATTTCCACGGTCTGGAATCGAGGTGCTGGGCCGCACTCCCTCTGAGACTCCAGGGAGATGATTGTTTCCTTGCCTCTTCCAGCTGCTGGAGGTCACCTGCATTCCCTAGGCCATGGTCCAGCATCATGTCACCTCTCCGCCTGCTGCCATCACTACATGGTCTGTGTCCTCTTCTGCAGGAGGAAGTCCAAATCTCCCTTCGCCTTCTACTTAAGGGATACTTGGATTGCATTGAGGACCTCCTCGATAACCCAGGACAGCCTCCTTGACTTGACATCTGCAAAGTTCCTTTTACCACATGAGGTGACATTCACAGGCTCCAGGGAGTATATCGGGGGGTTGTTGTCTTACCACACTCTCTCCCGTCTCTCTCCTACATCGTGCTCCCACACCAGCCTGCACTTCCTCCTCCATCTCGCCCTCAGCTCCTGTCCTTCCGTGTGGCAGCAGAGGCTGCAGGGAGCCTTGACATTTCCACTCCCTCTGTCCTAACACCACCAATGAGAAATTCAGCCCATGCTCTTGACCAAGGTGACTACCCTGTAGGCTGGCCTCCTGGCCTGGGCAATGTCCAGCATGATAGGTTCTCAGCAAACACCTATGAAAGGAAAGGCAGAGGGAGGTGGGCTCCCTAGCCCTGCTTCAGTACTTTAGTAATTAAGAAAAGCAGAGGCTCACTTCTACCCGGGTCTACAAGTGAGCGGCACCCAGGAGCCATCTCCAAATTCAGGAGGCCGGGAGCCTCCATCCTGGTCCTGGGGAATTGATAGGCTGTGTTATTATTCTTCTCACTTCTCCTGCTTTCATAGAACCAGGGCCATTTTAAGACTTACTTAGGGGACCAGCAGATGGCATTATGGTTACATCACTGGACTCCCATTTAGTCAACTGAGGTTCGAATCCCGGACCTGGTGGCTTAAAACTCATGCCTGGTGCGTGTGTGTGCGTGTGTGTGTGTGTGTGTGTGCGTGTGCATGTACGTGCCTGCCCAAGATTCTGAGATAAGAATGGAGGAAAAGGAACTATGGCACAGTCATCCCCCCTGGAGGGTGATTTCTCACATTCTGTCTCTCAACCTTTCTCTGTCTCTCTGGCACGCACATGGGCCCTATACCAAAAATAACTCTTAAAAAAAAAAAAGAAAAAGACTTGCTTAGATGTAGGACTGTTATTTTTTCCGGCCTGCCCCCATATCATATCAAGCATGATAAAATTAAGTATCGTCTCATATAGTAGGGTATACCCTACATTAAACATAATGAGCACGGTGTGGGAGAGGTATACTTTAACACAAGGTTACACTTAGCAAACATTCAGGGAGAGTTCATCCCACAACTATACTTTCCTTCCTACATAGTATTTTCTCAGGTCTCTACCACTCTCCTGAGTCTGTAGAAAGCACAGGAGCCCTGGGCTCTGTGCACTCAGTGACACACCCTGAAGACCTGGCCCTGCATGGAGGACATGGTCCTACACTATGCTCTCCATGTGAGGGTACAGCCACTACATGCTCCTGCAGTGTATGGTTTTCCCTCCTGTTTGCAGCCCTTGGGACCATGGAGAAGAAAACCAGGGAGGAGACCAGCAATTAGCATAATGGATATGTCGCTGGACTCCCATGTAGTCGACCGCAGTTTGAGTCCCGGACTCGGTGGCTTAAAACTCACGCTGGGCATGTGTGAGTGCATGCCTAAGATCCTAAGAGGAGAATGGAGAAGAAGGGATTGCAGCATGGCCATCACCCCCTTGGGGGGGTGATTTCTCGCTTTCTGTCTCTCTGTCTCTCTCTGCCTGTCTGGTGAGCGCACGTGCCCTATAGCAAAAACCTCTCCAAAAAAAAAAAGAAAACCAGGGAGATGGGGATGGGTACTCAGTGGCAGGGGGTGCATGTCTGGAGCCTCAGTGTGAAAGCTAGGCCACTGCCTGGTCCACTTCTGAGCCCGCTGGCCTGACAGAGCAGCCATGCCCTAGCCGTCCCGGGCCAGCATGCACGCCTGAGGCTGACTGGGCACTCAGGGTGCAGCCTGATGCAGCGGGAGTCAAGGCAAGAAGCTTCACTGGGGGGTTAACAAGGGGGAGGCAGACACCCTAAGGCCTTCCCATTGCAGCTTTGTCTAGCTCGTCCAAAGGCAGCTGAGCCCCCATGGGCAAACCTGGCCGTTTCACACCAGGCATGCACTGCTAGGTACACAGCCACCCGGAGCCAGGTGAGGAGTCTCTGCCCAGCTCCACAGCGCTGAGCGGCCTGCACCTGGCTCCCCACTGTGCCCAGGCAGCCATGGGCAGAGGAAGAGCTTTGGGCCCTGGTTATCAGCTTAGGTCCTCAAAGCTGGGCTCTGGTGAATCACTGGTCTGCCTTCTGCCACCAGCACGCCTGTCCACAAGGGCAGGGTTGTCTCACTCCCCTCTCTGCCCTCTGTGCCTCAGTCTTCATAATGGTGTGACTAATCTTCACGACAACCCCGCCAAGGAGGTGAGATTTGCCCCTCTTACAGAGAAGAAAACCAAGGCTCAGGGAGGCTAAGTGCTCACAGGAGAGAAAGAAGTGACACTGGGTTTCAACTTCAAGTTGTGAGGACATGCCAGGCCCTTCTAGAGAAATGTCAGCCAGAAGGAAGGAAGGAGGATGTTTGAGTGACACTGGGGCCCGAGGCCACACCCCAGGCTAGACAGAAGGCACGCCGTGTAAACGGGAGTTCTCAGCGGCATAGAAACTGGATCCTATGTTTCAGGAAGGGTTCCCTCCAGAGCTTCAGGGGTGGAGCAGAGAGAGAAAGAGGGCCCCAGCCTTTTCAGGTGGCAGGCCAGGCCTGCCTGTAAGGGGGCTCTGCTCCCCCACCTTACCCCAAATGTAATGACTGTGTCTTTGGAAAGGAGAGGGAGATTCGACACAAAGAGGCAGAGAGGAAGGCCATGTGAAGGCAGAGGCAGAGACGGAATCAGGCAGCCACGAGTCAAGGAATGCCTGGCACGGGGTGCCGCTGAAATGCCGGGCACGGGCTGCAGCTGCCAGGAGCTGGGAAGAGGCGTGGGTGGACTCTCCTTAGAGCCTCCAGAAGGAGGGAACACCTTGATTTTGGACTTCCAGCTCCCTGAAGGCTGAGAAAACCCACTTCTACTGTTTGATTCTTTTTTTTTTTTTTCCTTTGCCATAGGGTATGTGTGCTCACCAGAGACACAGAGAGACAGAATGTGAAAAATCACCCCCAAGGGAGTATGGCCATGCTGCAATCCCTTCTCCTCCACTCTCTCAGGATTTGGGACATGCACACATACGCGCCTGGTGTGAGTTTTAAAGCAACTGGGTCTAGGACTCGAACTATGGTAGACTATGTGGGAGTCCAGCAATGTAACCAATTATGCCATCCGCTGGTCCCCCAACTTCCACTGTTTTAAGCCATCCAATTGAAAGGTGTTACAATAGCCCCAGAAGACTAATGCAGACCCCCAATGCTTATGACTGAATCTCTCATACCGAGTTTGATGACTGGTTACTGCCTGCCTTTCATCCAGTCCCCTAGCCTTAGAGAAACAGCAGCCCTGTCCTTGTTGCAGTAGGCACAGGATCAACTTTGTGGACAGGCAAGGGAGGGTGACTGCCTATCACATAGGCGTTCCCATAGACCCCCAAGCAAGAAATTGATATATACCCTTTAAGTCAGAGAATTTTGAACACATTCTCCAAATTTAGTTAATATCCAGCTAGAGATTTTCACATGACAGAGTAACTGAGAGAGACCTAATTTACATACAAAGATGTTGAGAAAAACAGCTGCTACTGGTCCAGCCAGTGGCATGGTGATTAAGGCAGCTGGATCTCTTATGGCCAAGAGTGCGGTTTGAGTCCCAAATCCATGATTTGAAAAACACACATACAAGTGCGTGCCCAAAATCCCAAGGAGAGAAGTGGTGGAGGAAGGGTTATGGTGTGGCCATTCCCCTGGTGGTGGTGTGTATGTGGGGGTGCTTTCTCACTCTCTCTTTCTCTGTCCCTTTCCAGTGAGCACATGCACTCTGTAGCAAATTTAAAAAAACAAAAACAAAAACAAAAACAAAAACAAAAAAAACCTTCAGCAGCTACTGATATTTTTAATTGCCAGAAGGTGTGTGTATTCTGTCAGAGAGTAATAAAAGAGAGAAGGAGAGGAAGAGGGAGAAAACACCCCACACTGACACAGGCTCACACCACAATCCATTCTCCTCCATTTCTCCACATTGTCAGAATTCTGGGCATGTGTGAACATGTATCCAGCATGTTTTATAAGCTGCCAGGGGCAGGATTTGAACTGTAGTTAGTCATGTGGGATCTGGCTCCCTTAACCACTAGGCTATGGGGCTGGACTAAGCAGCTACCAACTTTGAATGCTTACTGGGTATCAGGAATAACACTTTAAATTGTATGTTTACTTGAAAGCCAGGGATTAGCACATTGTTTAAGAGAAGGCTAGGCAATCAGGAAATGGCAAAACAGGTTTCAGATCCAGAGCCTTTTGGGGTTCCAAGGCCTGTGCTTTTTGGCCAAGCATGTTGACTCTTGATTGATCACACTGTTGTGGATTGGTTTGTCAAATGAGCCCTGGATAGAGCTGATTCAAAACAAGTTAGGTGAGTTTGGAAGGGTGGGGACAGCCAAGAACAATCTGCACTCTGATGGGGACATTGAGGACCACATCTGAGCCTTCCAGCCTCCCAGGGTCCAGCACTGGACAGGTCTGCAGCAGGCATTCCATACTGGGCTGAGATCCGGGCTGGCCATTCATTTGACGGGTGCTCACCCAAAACTGTGCCCAGCTCTGTGCTAAGTGGTGCTCTGAACAAGACCTGGCTTGGCTCTGGAGAGCCCTGGGGAAGGCCTGGCATGGGTCCTACCTCAGGGCAGCAGTGATGCAGCCTTCACTGGTCAATCCACTTCAGACATGAACTTACTGCAGGGCCCCCCTTGGTGAACTCTGAGAGCCAGGGCCTGGGTGTGTGGGACTGACAGGAGGCAGACGGCGAGGCCCTCAGTCCACCCAGCCATCCTCTCTCCCCGGGCTTCTCCCACCACACCACAGCCCTGGCTCACTTCACTATGCACACACTGGCCTTTGTTCCTTGAGAATGTACGCAGAGGGTGTCCCCACCCTTAGGCCTGTGCACTAGCACGTCTCTCTGCCATACACACTCTGACCCCAATTCTGAATGTCTGACTTTTTGCATCATTTAGTCTCAGCATAGATGACTCCCCTGCAGAAGCTAGTCCCAACCCCCAATGCAGAGAAGCCCCTCATCACTGCCTCTGTTACTGTCTCACTAATCTAAGGCAACTGGACCCTGAAGAACAAAGCTGGCCATACCACTGCCTACAAATGCCTTGTGCATTTACTGTATCCCTTAGTTATTGTCTATCCTTCTACTAAACCCTTGCCTGTGTCCCTCACTGCTGAATCCTCAGAGTCTAGCTCAGCTCATGGCACCGCCGTCAAGTCCTGGCAGGCTGGATGACTGCCTAACCTTCCTCCCTCAGGGTCTCCAGGCTGACCCCTGACTCCCCTCCACAAACACACAACAGCAAGGCTTCCTGTCCTGTCTTGCCAGCCACCCTCCACTGCCCTCTCCAGGCTCTCAGACAGTTGGCATTGCCACACTCCTGGTTCACCTACTCTTGAGGGTAGGCAGCAGAGCTGTCTGGGCCCTCTTTGGAGTCAATACACTCTCTGGGGGCCCAAGACTGGCTGTGACTTATGTTGGGCTGGTATGCCCAAGGCCTTGACTCCTTATTCCATCAATAAACATGAGAGTAGGACCAGCCCTCAGGAGCCTTGCCATAGAATCCCTTGATGAACTGTTTGTTTTCCATGGATTTCTAGACTTATCCCCAGGCTCCTCATCCCAGTATCTCTGGGAGAAGTGGAACCTGGGGCTTTCCAGGTGAGTTTGATACACACCGAAGTCTGAGCACCATCAGCCTGCAAGAGCTTCTGCCGTCAGAAGCATCGTTGAGATGAGATAGCCCGGCTTTGTGCAGTATACACAGCAAGGGCTCATGTCTGATGACCATGACTGTGTGGTTTCAGCCTTTCCAAGCTGAGGCTTCAAGTCGCTTCCTCTCAAAAATTGTACATTTTCTTTCTTTCTTTTTTTTTTTAATTGCCAGAGGATTTGTCCACTTGCCAGAGAGAAACAGAGACAAAGAGAGAGGGGAAAAGTACCTCCCAGTGGGGCATGGTCATGCCACAATCCCTTCTCCATTTATCCATCCTGTTGAGAGTTTGCACAATCACACATGTTTAGCTGGTACATTTTTCAAGCTGCTAAGGCTAGGATTCAAACTGCATGATCAGCCATGCGATATCTGGCTTCCTTAATCACGAGGCTATGAGGTTGACCCAACATTGAATATGTTTTTTAAAGTCCCCATACCTTGTGAAAATGACCACAGAGCATTTACTGGTGAGGACTTCAGAGCCCCTAACAACTGGATTCCAGAACCCCAACCTTTGACAATTCCTGTACCCAGGAAAGAACAGAGGAGGCTGGGCTCCCAGGGCTCACCAGGATGGTTCCAGCCCTGGCATCTGTGGTTGCCCCAGCATCTTTCCCCACATGCCAGACTCCAGGTTCTTCTGGGTTCCCTCAGTGCCTTTGCCCATGCAGTTTCTTGGGATATCTTTTCTAGTCACCTGAAAACCAAACTTAAATTCTGGGTTCAGACACTGCTTCACACTTGAAATCTTTTCTGATTCCTCGGTTCCATGGAAATCGGAGAACTTTCCAGTGCCCTGGCCCTTCCCCAACTGACTCATGGCAACCTGTAGGCAGGGATGGGATATTCACAAAAACAAAGTCACTGCCAAGTAAGTGGGGTAAAGCCTTTCCAAACTGAGTCTGGCAGCACCCTCCCCTTGGGCTGGTGGCAGAGAGCCTGCCTTGGGCTGGAGGTTCTCCAGGGGCTCAAAAACAGCAGGCATAGGCCCAGAGGTAGTCCCACTCCAGGTCTCTTCCCAAGAGAGAACAGAAACATGGCTATTATACCTTGACTGTGTCCAGAGGATAGCCGACGATGACACTGGCTGCACCTGTGAATCAGAGAAGAATACCTGATCACTCAGTCCCCAGACTTCTGGTTTGTACCAACTGGCTCTTGAGACAAGGCAGAGAGCTCAGGAACATGCACTTGTTCATTCATTTAATGGTCAGACATGGAGGGGAACTCCAATACGAGATGCACGGGCCCAGTACCAAAGAAGGCCAAGAAAACAGAGTAAAAGTTGGGCCTCACCTCAGGAAGTCTTCCCCCTAATAAAAAAGGTGAAGGTGCAGAGATAATTGGAGACATACATGAAAAAAATGAAATTAGGAGTACACGTGCCCTATAGCAAAAACCTCTCAAAAAAAAAAAAAAAGGAAGAAAAAAAAAAAAGAAAAGAATCCTACTTCATATAATATACAAAAATTAACTTAAGATAGAGCAAAGACCTAAATGGAAGAGCTCAAATTATAAAACTTTTAGACTGAAACACAAGAAAAAATCTTCATGACCTGAAATTTTAAATGTTCTCTTAGATATGACATTAAAAGCACAAGTAACAAAAGAAAAAAAAATAGATAAATTGGACTTCATAAAGATTTAAAACTTTAATGCATTAAAGGACACTATTAAGAAAGTGAAAGGAACCTACAGAATGGGAGAAAGTATTTGCTAATCAAGCATTTAATAAAGGTCTAGTATCAAGACTATATGAAGAACTCCTAGGCCAGCTTTGTGGGCAGGTGGTTAAGGCAGCTAGATCCCAAATGGCTGAATGTGCACTTTAAGTCCTGGACCTGGCAGCTTGAAAAATAAGCTGGACACATAGGCATTCATGCCCAAAACCCCAGAAGGAGGGAGAGATGGAAAAAAAGGATTGAAGTGTGACTTTTTCCTATGAAAAATGTCTTCTCTTCCTCTCTCTCTTTCTTGCTCTGGCAAGTGCACATGCTCTCTAGCAGAAGACAAACAACAAACAAACAAAAATCAAGCAAACCAACAAATAAAAGTTCTTACAACTTAAAAAATAAATAAGTAAATTCAAAACCAACTTTTTAAAATCAGCAAAGAAACCAAACAGACATTTCTCTAAAGAAAACACAAATGGCCTAAAAGCACATGAACAGATGTGCAATATCATTAGTCACTGGGGAAATGCAACACAAAATCACAATGAAATTCCCATTTATATCAATTGGGTTAGCCATAATAATAATAATAGTAAACATTAAAGTAAGTGTTAGTGAGAGTATGAACTCTCATACTCCACCGATAAGAACGTAAAATGAGGCAGACACTGTGGGAAATAGTTTGGCAATTCATCAAAAAATTAAATACAGAATTACTATATGGCCCAGCAATTTCACTGCTAAGTAGATAGCCAAAAATTGAAAACAAACAAATACGTGTACACATATGCTCATAGCAGCACTATTCACAACAGCTAAAAGGTAGAAGAAACAGTCCAAACAGTTACTTATGGATAAATAAAATGTGGTATATCCATACAATGGAATATTATTTAGCCATAAGTAGAAATGAAGTACTAATACGTGCTATAATATGGATGAAAATGAAAACATTATGTTAAAAGAAAGAGGACAGGTAGAAATAGGCAAAATAGTGTATAATTCCTCATATATGAACTACCCAGAATAGGTAAATCCATAAGACAGAAAGCAGATGGGTGGTTTCCAAGGCTGAGAGTAGGGAGAAATGGTGACTGATTAATGGTTACAGGATCTTCTTTGGTCATGGGAGAAATATTTTGGAACTAGATAGAGGTATTGATCTCACAGTAATAGTGAATGCACTAAATGCCAACCAGCTGTACACTTGTAAATGTCCAATTTGGGGGCCTAGCCAGTGAGTGGCGTGATGCTCTGTGAGGCCATCCCAATCTGAACATGCTCTTGGTTTAATTTCAGAGACCACTCTGATCTCAGCATCAGCAGGTCACAGATTTGAATGTGCTAGGCAAAGGTTGGCCCATGATCCAGGGCTGGCTGAAACTGAAGGTGGATAGGGGTATCGAGACCCTGTTAGGGATGCTGTCCCTCCCTCTTTCTCTCTCTTTCTTCTGGAAGAAATAAATAAACTTTAAAAAAGATAGGGAATAAGGCTAATTTTTAGTATGCAAATTTCAACTAAAAAAAGTGGGGGGGGAGAGTGTGTGAAGGGAAAACTGAGCAATTTCCGTTATCTGCAGGTTACAGACTTTTCTCCACGCCTCACTTTCAGCACGGGTAGAGGGGGATAAAAATACCACCTACCACATGGCTCCATCGTAAGCACAAGATGAGGGCATGACTGAGAAGTACTGAATAGAGTCTGACAATTTCAGGATGCTCGAAAATAGGTAGATGCTGTCCCTACTGCTTTGATATTTTATTTTACTTTATTGTTTTAAAGACAGCTTCTTTGGAAAGGTGATGGATTTGCTGGATCTTTTTACAGAAAAAAAATGTCTCTCCACACACATAGACCTGTACAATTTGGAGAGAAATAAGGCTGTTCCGGGCCATTCAATGAAAAGGACCTTGCAGGGAAGCTGGTTACTCTACATTGAAACTGGAGCTGTTCTTCAAAGACAGATTCCCCAGGACTCTGATGAGGAAGTCAATGGGTCTGCTAGCAGAAGTGACTTAACCAGATAAGTTAAAGGGGTAAGGGGTCTTGGAGTATTAGATATTTGCAGGAAACAGAGAAAACAACTAATCCCAGAGCAACTGGTCCCTTGGTCTAGAATCTCCTGTCCCCCAACTGAAATAGGCAAAAGCAGAGAAATGACAGGCAGCGAAGCTGAGCATTCTTCAGGCTGCAGCCTCACTACAGAAACCCCTCAGAGGAGGGAGGATGGAGATCCGGTTCTCGGGCTGAGTGTGGGCATCCCTCCACTGGAGCCGCAGCCTCACAGCCAGCCATGGGCCAACATCTCCCAGCTCACTCCTGGGCCTCCCATCTTTGATTGGGAAAGGGATATTTAAAAACTGGGGTTATTGGGGCCAGCAAGTGGCATAGCGGTTAAGGCCTTGGACTTCCACATGGCCAACTGAGGTTTGAGTCCCAGATCTGGCAACTTGACAATCACACTGGGAGTGTGTGTGTGTGTGTGTGCATGCCCAAAATCCCAGGAGGAGAATGGAGGAGTAGGGATTGAGTTGTGGCCATTCACCCTGGCTGGTGATTTCTCACTTTCCCTCTCACTGTCTCTCTTTGATGAGTGCACACGCCCTATTGGCAAAAACTTTAATGAAAAAAAAAATGGGATTATCAGATCAGTGGTTTCTAGATCTTGGGACCTCAGAAACCAGTGAAATTGCAAACAAATTGGAAAACGTCATGATGAAATTTTTCATGCAAGATCTTTAAAAAATGAAATGGCTATCCAGGAGCACAGGTGGTGAGCTGACAGGACCTGGTGCCCATTGTGTGGGTTGGAATCCCAGCACCCAGGCCAGATGGCCTTAGTCAAATCAGTGAGCTTTTCTATGCCTTGATTTCTTCGTTGTAAATGGGATGTAACAGTACCCTACCTCCCTGTGGTGTCATAAAAAATTAAATAAACATACACAGGATAAGACACCAGAGACCACACACTGCAGGATTCACTTATAAAAAAACAATTTATGGTGAGACTTGCACCACTCAGGAAAGTTGCTAAAAATTGTTGAATTCTATTGGAAATGGGTACATTTTATATGTAAAATAAATATAAACTTTGACAAAGCTGTTTTAAAAATCTATAAGGCGGGACACGATGATATAAGCATTTTTTGGTCCTATTTCCAGGACAAGAGAGGTAGTTTAGAGTGATTTGGGGACTATGCAGAGGGTTCGTGGGAATGCCACAACAGAATACAGTCCTTGAAACCAGGTGACCCCAGGAAATAAGAGGATGGTTGCCAAGTTTTCCAGAGTCCACGCCAGGGCAGATTCTAAGTGCAGATAATTCTCATTAGTTCTGGGTCTCTCCATGAACCAAATAGCACCAGGTGCTGACAAATTCAGACATCCCTGAATCTTAGTGTACTAGTCAATTTAAGCCCAAGAGTCTATTACTTCATCTAAACACACTCGAGAATAATTATGAAAATAATAATAATAACAACAACAACAGCAAGATTATTAGAACATCTTTAGTCCTACATACATAAAGAAAGAAGCAGAAGTGGAGCCAACAGGTGCTGATGTGATTCAGGTGCTGGATTTCCACATGGCCAACCACAGTTCGAATCCCAGACCATGCAGCTTCAAAATCAAGCCAGGCATGTATGTATGTGTGCCCAAAATCCCAGGAAGAGAATGGAAAAGGGATTGCAGCATGGCCATCCCCCTCAGTGGATGATCTCTTACTTTCCCTCTCACTGGTGAATGCACACACCCTATGGCAAAAAACAAATACACACATGCACGCACACACACACACACGCACGCGCGGGGTGGGGCCAGGCAGTGGCACTGCAGTAAAACATGATGCTCCATGAGTCAGGTCCACAGGGGAAGGTTTTCAATTCAAGCCCAGAGACTTCCCTGCATGCTGTGATCTGGGGTTGATTGAGGCTGGGAGTGGACTGTGGTACTAAGATCCTGTTGGGGATCTGTCTGTCTGTGTGTCTCTCTCCTCCTTTTATCTCTCTGTATCCACCCCCCACCCCGTCTCTCTTGCTTATGAAAGAAATAAACAAACAAAAAAAGCCAGAGGGTTCTGGAATTTATATATCTCACTTAAATACCTGGCACCTTCAAAGTATTCAGTGTTACTATACTCATCATCATGTCATGGAAGCAAAAACAAACCCCAAAGATTTCATAATATCGACCAAGGAAGGGCAATCCTCTAATTGTTGTGTGAGTTGGAGGGTCCATGCGTTATCACCTTGGTGGGAGAGTTCCTTCTAGTAAGGCGTTGAGCTGCTCAGACTCAACTTACCTCTAGGGCATTTCTCAAACCTAGCCACTTGCTGCCCTCCTGAAGTTGGTCTGGTTATTCAAGAGGTAGCCGATGGGAAGATCTCTCCTCTCTGCCTGCCCCTCTGAAGAGTTGAAGGATTATTCAGTTACAGGGGGCCTGGGAATGCCCATTGGCCTCAGACTGCAGCCCTCCGACTGGTAAAGTTAGAAGTGGTGGGTCTCAGTCCAACCCGAGGGCACCTGTGCCAACTGCCCATGGTAAAAGGAGCCATCTGTGCTCAGGATGGTGGCAAGCAGGGGCCTTGCACTCATATGTTGGGGGAGAGATGGCCTCTGGTTAGGTAGGAGGAGAGGACCTGGGATCTTGATCTGGCTGTTGCTCTTCTTGTCTTTATTTTTCTCTTTAGGGAGGAGCTACAAATGTCAATATGCCTTTTAAGATAAATCCTATCTTTTGATTATTACATGAGTCAAAAGCAAGATAATTTTTTACAATATGCAAAGTCCTTCCAATGCCCCCCTTCAATCCCCCACTCACCAGCAACAGCTGAGAAAGGAGGAATAGATCTACTGGGAAGAAAGGAGATGCAAGGGAATGCGTACAACTCTCTCCAAGCAACCCATCCCAAGCCCAGCAGAAGAGGATCCGGGAGAGGGTAATGGCCAAAGAACCAGCAGCCCCGTGTGCCTGGAGGGCCCTTGAAGGAAGGCGATTGCTGATATTTGACAGCTGCTGAAAGCAGGAAGGGCTCCTCCCCTCTGGAAGAGGGCACCTGCGGCCCGGTGCTCTGTTCCCTGCTCTGAGCGCTGTGTTCTTTCCACTGGGAGCGCCCCCTGCGGCGGGCCTGTTCACACAACTGGGCTCCCCACCATCCCATGCCCAAGGGCCAAGAGTTAAGCGCCATCCTCACAGACAAGTTCCTGCCAGCCACGTCCCCAAATTCAGGTGCTCACTCGGTCCCCGAAGGGTGTGTGCGCGCGGAGAGGCTCCATTGGCTCCGGGCTTTGCCCGGCTGTTTAATGATTACCAGGCAGTTTTGCGGGTCCTAACTATGAGACAAATCGGAAACTCGGGGTGAATCTCTGTGAAACGCTATGAGGCTTGTTGAGTTTAGCTCTCGTAGCAGGCGAAGAACCGCAAGTCCACCCGAGGACTGTGGGCTGGGGGCACTGCCCGCAGTAGGCAGCACGCACGCTGGGGCGCCGGTGGGAGCCGCAGGGCGCAAAGCTTCCTAACACGGAGCACCGCGTGCAAACTCTGCCCGCTCAGAGCTCGACTTGTTTTGCTCTCTCTGGTCCAGACGCCCCCATAAACACACTCACCTCCGATCCAGCCCGCCACAAAGTCTTCCAGCTGAAAGTTGCCCATGGTCTGTGCCGTGCGGCTCCGCGCTGTCCGGTCCCGGAGTCGGAGCCGGTACAGTGCCGGCTCAGCGTCTTCCCCGCATGGCCCGAGCGTGCTGGAGGAAGACAGTCGGAGTCTCGGAGTACACTGCAGGTTCTACTCCAAACCCAGTCCCAAGTCTCACGCTGTCGCGCTCACCTCTCCAAGTGCCCGTGGTCCGCTAACATCCCGCCCCTAGTGGACTTTAAAGGCTCAGCACTCAGGCAGGAGGAGGAGGGTTCACTGCGCTTGGCACACCCCAGGCCCAAAGAGGGGAGGGCCGCCAAGTGGAATTCCCTTAGCACCTTCTTCTGTCTCTCATTGTCTCCCGGGTCAGCCTCCAAGCTGGTCCTCAGCGCCTTGGAAGCAAAAGCGAAAGCTGGCGCCTGTAATTGTTCACCCTTAGGTCTGATACTGGAAACGGCTTCGGGGACGTTGTGTTTTTTTTGTTTGTTTTGTTTTGTTTTGTTTTGTTGCAAAGCTCATTACAAGAGGCAAGGAGGAAGGCTTTACCCAAGACCGGGAAGTATTTGATTATTAACACCGAAGTCATCTACCTTGAAGACACATCAGGGGAATTTAAACTGAAACAACACTGAAAAACAACAACTGAAGTCATTCCAACTGAATGACTAGCCAATCATAAACCAGAAGTGTTTGTTTGTTTGTTTATTTAAATTTGCCAGAGGGTACACGTGCTCACCAGGGGAAGGGAGGGAGAGAGAGAGAAAGAGAGAGAGAGAAATAAAGCACCTTCTACTGAGATGTGGTCATGTCTGAATCCCCTCTCCATTTTTCCATTCACACATCATTTTGGGCAGTACTGCCCACATGTGCTCCCAGTGTGTATTTCAAGCAGCCCAGGCCAGGACTTGAACTGGACAATGAGGCATGCAGGACCTGGCTCCCTTAACCACCAGGCCACTCGCTGGCCCAAACCAGCTTAATTAATTCTTTGAGCTGATTGAAAGCCACAGACAATGTTGTTGTAAAGTACACAGAACATACAATTTTCCATTTCAGTTGCAGAGTTTAGGTGGCCCTTCCCCCAACAACTTTCCAAAGCCCTCGGGTTAGGACCCTTTCTATCAGTTGTCAGGGAAGTCAGGGCATACTTCTCTTGTTTTTCTATGCAAAACTGTGTCACGACTTTCCCAACGATCCAATATTAATGAATAATTTAAAAATGTGTGGAAAGCACCTAGTCCAGAAGTCGACTTCAAGTCGGTGGTAAATGAATATTAGCTATTAATAATGTCCAGCATTTTCTGAGCACTTAAATTGTGCCCTCTGCCTTGTACCTGGGCTTATTTCTTCCTTACAGCAACCCTGTGAGGTGGGTACTAGTAACCCCATTTTACAGATGAGGAAAATGATACTGTGTTTAATGTATATAATGCGTATATGTATACTGCATACATAGATTGTAATCTTTTAGAAAACTTGTCCAAGGGACTAGCAGATGACTTAATGGTTACACTGCTGGATTCCCATGTAGCTTAAAACTCATGCTGGGCACGTGTGCGTGCGTGCGTGCCCAAAATCCTGAGAAGAGAATGGAAGAGAAGGGATTGAGGTGTGGCCGTCCCCCTTGCAGGGTGATTTCTCTCTGTCTCGCTGGGAAGCACACACGCCATTATAGCAAAAATCTCTCTCTAAAAAAAAAGCAATCTGGCCCAAATTAGGAGATGAAAGTCGTCACATCTGAGTTATAGACTTAGCTGTCTGAGGACAGATTTAAGCTTATTTCCCCAAAGCCTGGCTGTCACAGGGAAGGCTGAGGGGAGACTCCCCCGCTCCCTGAGAATTGAAGGTCCTGCAGCATCCTCCTGCTGAGGGCATGTAGCGCCTTGCTGAGAGCACCCTGGGCCAGGTGGGAATTTCCAGAACCCTGAAAACTCTCAGCCTATCCCTGGCTAGGCCTTTGGGAGGGGTGAGGCCAGGTTGGAAATTTCCTCTGGGAGCTGCCCAGCCATGAAGGCCAGGCGGCCAGGCAGCACACTCTGCCTCCAGAAAGCTCCCCTCACTGCAGCCAGAAGCCCCTGATAACACCTCTCTCACCCCCAGGCTCTCCTGGGGCAGCACTCCCTCCTCTGCCAAAGAGCAGGCCACAAACCCTGCTCTCTGAGCTCCGCTGAAGCACTTCACACTACCCCCTCCCTCAAAACTGTATCTCTGCCTCCCACACACTTCTCTTCCTCTGTACCCACCTGCTCCAGACAAGCAAATGGCTGCCTTACCCCGAGAACACCCACCAGCCAGAGTCTGCGCTGAGGGCTTTACACACATGTCTCACACCCTTCTCACAGCACCTCCACCATGCCCGGTTTGACACCTACGCCTGGCTGGGCTACAGTCCCGCTGCTGACTCGAGCCAACCCTAACCAGGGTGTTTCCCTCACGGTGTTTTGTGAATGTGATGAACATCTACCATCAGTTGATTTTTCTTTCCTTTTTAATTTTTTCCTTCTTATTGCTGGCGGACATGTGTGTTGGCCAGAGAGAGACAGAGAGAGAGACAGAGAGAGAGAGAGAGAACTCTCCAATGGGACAGGTCACACTGCAGTCCTTTCTCTGCCATTTCCTCCATTCCATCAGGACTTGAGGGATGCACACACATGTGCCTGGTGTATTTTTCAAGCCACCAGGGCAAGGAGTTGAATCATAGTCGGCCATGTGGGATCTGGCTTTCCGCTTAATCATTATGCTATGGAGCAGGCCCTCAACTGATTTTAAGTAAATGAGATTATTCCTCATAAACTGGTAGATCTCAGCCAATCAGATGAGGGTCCGTAAGAGCAAATCAGGGTCTTCCATAAGAAAAAAAAAATTCTACCTCTGGACTGCAGCTTCAGCTCCCACCTGAGAGTTTCAACCTACTGGCCTACAGATTTGATTTGGCCAGCCAGACCTCAAAATTGTACACACACACACTCACACACACACAAACGCACACTCCACACACACATACACACACACACTCTCTCACACACTCTCACACATTCTCACACACTCACACACACACACTCACACACACACACTCACACACTTACACAAACACATGGTTGATTCTATCCCTCTGGTAGAACCATGTGTACATCCATAAAATACAGATGAGGAAACTGAGACTCACAGAGGTTAAATGTGATCCTATCACGTAATTCTAGGGGCAACCTAGAGATGGCTTTTGTCCTGTCTGACCCCTCAATACCTTCCTGTCCCCTCGCCCTCCCCTCCAGCCCTCCCCACGAGGTGCGCTTGGGGAGGTGGTCTCGTTGCCTTACACTGCACTGATGGTGCTGATTCCAAGCAGCGGTGCACTCCCTTTCTGCATCCCCACCCAATGTCTGCTCATCCCTAACGTGTCCACTCAGCATCCTGTGTCCAAGCAAGCACCTGGTGGCCCAGAGCCTTGTGTAACTTTGAGGTGCAGCTCCTCGGAGGCCCAGCCCCAGCACCGCCTACACTATCTATCCAGGCCAGCCAGGAGGCAGAGTGGGGGTCCTTTCTCCCCCAAAGCCCCTCAATGGGCAAACCCTGCACCCAGCCAGAGTCTGTGCCCAGGCTGGAGGTCGTGCTCATTAGGAGATGAGACCTGGCTGTGCAGGGTGGGGAGGGCTTTGTTCCGGTGGGTGTTCCTGCTCCCACCATTCCATGGAAGATGACTCGATGTCCTCCAGCAACCTGCTGGTTTCCAGGAGGGGTGCAGCTGCGGGTCTGGCTGAGACACCCCAGGGATGACAAGAATGGTGAGTCTGGTCTGGAGAAAGGGGTTTCTACTGGGCTTGTTCTTGTCCCACTGGTCCATCTATGTCCTGTCACCAAGGTCAACGTGCAGTAGTGGCTAGCCAGGCCGTCTTGCAAACCAAGACTCAGTCTAACCACTGAGGCTTGATCCTAAAAGGGCCCTCTAAGGATGCTGGGGAGTGTGGGTTTGAAGGTGGCAGGGGCACCCATGGCCCTCCCTGGGCACACACAATGGGCCTGTATTTGGATATGAGAACCGGAGTCACCTCTGAGGACAGAGCTTGGTTGGGGCCTCAAATCTTGCTGGGGTGGTGGAGATGGGGCTGGTCTTGCAAAGTCCCAGGGAGAGGTGGAAACAGCACACTCATCCCTGAGCCTCAGCTTCCTGCCACACGTGCTGACCTTCTCAGTCTTAGGGCTTCAGAGTTGTCATTGGCACTGACCCCGAACTGTGCCCTGCCATGCCATGGATCTGTGCCAGAGACGGCTGTGAGGAAAGAAAGGTCTCCCAGAGCAGCCCTCAGCTGAGCTCACCCTTGGAGTGGACCCACCAGTGGAAAGCCTGCCGATGCCCAAGCCCTCTCCTTTGCAGAACCACTAAGGGGTGCCAGGCGGACTGCCATCCCCTCAGCCCCACGTCACCACCAATCAGACCTCTGAGTTGGCAGGCAGGGTGCCGGGCAGGCCTGGATGGCCTCCGGAGCCCAGGAAGCTGTGGCCTGAATGCCGATAAGCAGGAGCAGAGTGGAAAGAGCAGGCTCCTTTCCAGAATGAACTGCCGTGCTCCACTCCCAGATATGTGCAGTAAATCTGCCCAGGAGGCCCATCACCAAGGAGGCAGGGGAGGACCCAGGTCTAGAGCAGCTGCGGGCCAGGCCTGGAGAGCCCCAGTTCATAGAGGGCTGTGGGACCCAGGAGAACGCTGGCTCAGGGGAGGGATCTGGGCCCTTACTCGTTCCTGGGACCCTCACGTCAGAGCAGTGATTGTGGTCCTGCCATTCACATTTGTATCTACCCTGGGAGAGCGTGGGGTGGCCGGTGACCACTGCACAGACAGAGAAACTGAGGCATGGAGAGGTCAGCTGCCTTGGTTTCTAGGACCCAAAGAAGCCCACCTTCTGGAACCAGCAGATGGTATAATGGTTATGTTGCTGGACTCCCACATAACTGACCATAGTTCAAGTCTTGGGCCTGACGACTTAAACTCATGCTGGGCATGGGTGGGTGCATGCCCAAGATACTGAGAGCAGAATGGAGGAGAAGGAATTGCGGTGTGCCCCCCCCCCGCCCCCGGGGGGGGGGGGGGTTTGTTGTCCAGGTGTTGGTGGTGATTTCTTGCTTTCTGTCTCTCTGGCGAGCACACATGCCCTAAAACAAAAATCTCTAATAAATAAATAAATAAATAATTTAAAAAGAAAAAAGAAGCCCACTTCCCTCTCTCTCCCTCAGCCTCTTCCCTAAAGGTAAGTTTCTTGAGGACTTGTCACTGCAGTGGGACGCAGATGTCACATGTGGACATCGCCTGATAATCGGTGGTCTCTGCCCACTCCATATCGGTTCCATCAGGCAGCAGACCCTTCCTTTGGGAGAACGTGTTTGTCTGAAGTGGCTAGGAGAACCTGGACAGGGAGTCTGTGCCAGGAAGCAGTCAGGGAAGGCTGCGCGGACTGGCGCCCCCTGGCTGCTCCCAGAGTCTGTCCAGCCCCAGGGCTCCCTACCCCTCATTCTCCCACTGCACCCACCCATGCTGCGCTACCCCTGCCTGGCCTGCGCAGTGCGGCCTG